GGGTTAGGGTTAGGAAGTTGTAGATAAATGTCCAACAGATGGCAGCAGCAGCCTGTAAGCTAAGTGTCATCTGTGTAACAATAGAATTGGATATTATGTTTTCATAATGCCAAGTGGAAGACGGTAGATGATAAAAAGAAGAGGGACGAGGACAGAACCTTGTGGAACACCGGAACAGAGAGGGAATGGATGAGAGGTAAATGATTTTAATTCAATAAATTAGTCAGAAAGGTATGAAATATACCAGTTAAGGGGTGTGTCAATCTGTTGTGGAACATTCTGCTGCTTTTTGGTACTTCTTTAAACATTTTAAAACTTTGATAGTCTTTTTGGAACGAAATGATTTTTCCTCATCAAACTTCTCACGTTGATCAAAATCATCATATTTATTATGGTTATTAATAAATAAACTGAATTACCAGCAAACTTCATGAAACTTGGTTTGTTTTAGGGTTGAATCAGCTGAAGATGTTTGATTTGAATATTTCAAATCTGCACCACTTGTTGAAGATTTTGTTAACCTAAAATCTGCAGCTTTTTTCTTTAACAATAATCTTTTTTATTTTCTAGAAGTGAAAGATTGTTATCAAGATTTTTAAAAAGATGGATACCACACTAAAAGTACACTCAAATCTATATATTTTTGTCTACATTGGTGCAAAATATGTTTTATYATGAATATTCAAACAACATTAAGGTTTTTTAGTCTCATGAACAAACTGAAAGCAGAGAGAGAAGCTACTTTTTAGTTTTATAGATTAATAGTTTATTCATTTTGATCAAAAACAAAAATTCCAGTACAAAAAAAGAAACAAATCTCAAAATGAAAGGAAGCAGCAGAAGAAGAAAAGAATCTTATAACATCTGCCCCTGTTTAACAAAAAAAGAATAATAAAAATAAAAATACACACATTTATATGTGTACACGTACCCACATTCATATATATACATATATACATACATATATATATATATATTATGCTCACAATAGAAATAAATTTGTGTGCAAATATGTGATCAATACTACTAAAACAAAAGATAAAACATGTTAGCTCATGCTAATCTGGTGTTTACTTAAATAATCTAACTTCTTTCTGTGATCTTTCTTTCAAATCTATCAGAATAACCTTTAAATAATTAGAAAACTACATAATAATAAGAATTAGAAAAATATGTATATACCTGAATAGTTCAGTTGTACTAGTTTTTATGAAATTCGTTATAAACTATATGCAGTATTTTTTTCTTGTTTACATCAATATGGTCTTTTCATTTGTCCTGATGTGCCAACATAATAATAAATAAAATTCACAATATAATTCTTAGTTTTATAATGTCACCTCCACTGGGCATAAAAGTTCCTGAAAAGGCCTTGAAAAGGCCCGTGGACCACCAGTTTATAATCACAGTTGTAGCTTGTTTTGCAGCTCTGAACACATTTTATTAGTGAGACAAGGAGCAGAAATGGCTCAGAAACAGTTTTTGGCTGTTGTTGTTTTCTGATCATTGAGTTGCAGCAATCACATGAGCCTTTTGGTTGTACTACAGGAAGTTGTCTCTGTAAGTGTGCAACAGTAAAATGTGCATCTTGTTGGAGAGCGTAGGACAATAAATGCTCTGTAATCAAAAGAAGTGTTCGTTCACTGGATCCAGGAGGACATTAAAATGTGTCAATGAGCAGCCTCCCAGTCAGCAGCCCCTCGTGGCTTGGGCTTGTTTTCTTTGGTTAAAAACAAGTCACCTTTATTTCACTTAGAGAAGAAATATGACATCCATCTCCAGCAAGGCATGTGGATGGACTGCAGTGACACACACAGGTTCATTTTCTGCAGAAAGATGCCAAATACCAGTCCGTTTGAAACATTTGTGGTTAACACTTTAACCAACCAGTCTGTTGCAAATTTATCTGCAGGAAACATTTCTTGCTTAAAAAAAACACAAAACATGACAAATTAAGCTTTGTGATGTTGCTCGATTAAAAACCAAGCAAAAAGTTGTTAAGGGGCAAACTTCTCCAACTGTTTTGAGTTTTACATTGTGTTATAATGTTATCCCCTCATCAAAAACACACCCAGAGTCTTATTTTGACTCATTCAGGCATGTTTGAGAAATCCTGAAATGTCCCGAGGCAGCCAGGCAGGAGAACAACTTTAAAATAAGTTGGTGAAAGCCTCCTTTTTATTGCTTGAACTTAAAGATGTCCAAATTAGGGTTAGGGTTAGGAAGTTGTAGATAAATGTCCAACAGATGGCAGCAGCAGCCTGTAAGCTAAGTGTCATCTGTGTAACAATAGAATTGGATATTATG